GTTTCACATTCCCTAATCCTCTTCTGGGTTTGACCTTTGGTAAACGACATGACTCCGGTTATTTTACAATCACAGAAACACTGATCTTAACCTCTTCTTAGTGTGGCCTCCTCCAAATCCACCAAACTTGGCAGAATCTCCACAGTCAAAGGGGGATTTGGCCTGGGCCTTCACGTAAGCAATTCAGGCTGTTCATGAGTGCTACCCTCCCGTACACAGTTTGGAATATGCCCAAGGCAGATTGCTTCTAATGCATGGAGGCAAAGAAGTCACTGTAATAGCAGATGGAGAAATAAACCCTAACCACTGTGTATGCAAATCAGGCATAGGTAGGATCTACATGTCCTCTTTGAGCCAGAGCAGGTAGATTATCTGCACTCTAAGCTTCTCAATTGTTGGTGGCAGCAAAGCCCAAATCCAGAAGCATTCTGAATTTCCAGGTCAGGGATCAACTCCAGCACAGTCGCCTCCTGGTCTCTCTTTTCTGCAGCATGTTTGGAACATGTTAAAAGCTGCACAAACTAAACACAAGACCATCTGCTTAGCAGCAACAGCAGCTCTTTGTCCTCAACTTCTAGCCTTTGAAAATCCCTTGTCTTGGTCCTGCTGACCATACTAAAGAACAAGTTCAGCAGGAAGGACAAGTGCTCTCCAGAGTAATTCCCAGCAGAACTCCATGAGGAAGCCTGGAGCCTGCCTTGGTGCCATGCTCAAAAAGCAGAACGTGCAGTGTGGAGAGCCCTTCAGAGAGCGGCCAGGATCAGAGAGGGAAGGACAAACCGTACCTGCAGTCAGCTTGTAGCAGCAAATCCAAATACCAGGGCAGGCGTTTGCTGAGGCGATAGCAGAGCTGTCGGTGAGGCTGCCCTGCCTCCCCTCCCTACAGCTGCACAAAGACTCAGTAAGTCACACATAGGGAATGCTTGAGCAGTGGAGGTGCAAAATGGAGCATATTAACTGACGCTTTTAATAAGATTTTGATAACAATGATTTTTATGTTAATCTCTAAAGAGTTTGCTTTTGTAACATATAACTGATAAGCATATAATCTAGTTTTAATTTAATCTCTGCAGGTGTTTCCCGATGGTAAATGTTAAATTTTTATTGCTTCCTTAGGCAGTAATAATAGGGGAAATGTCTGTAGGGCTCCCACCATCCATTTGTATGCAGATAGCATCATATTTTATAATAGCTGTAAATCTGACAGGATAGACTCTTACTGTTGAGATGATATTATAAATATGTGTCAACACTGAATAAACATCTTTGAAGGGAAAATAAAATAGAGATGTTATTAGAGGTCTAATGAAACAACCATAAATGCTTATTTATAAGAGATGTATGTGCACATCCTTGGAAAAAAGTAGAGCCCATGCTGGGTTTGCAGCTTTCCAATGAGCAGGACATGGAGATTCTCAGCAGGGTCCTGCAGACAATGCAGAAATAGATCCTACACTTCATAAAGATGATGACTGCCTATAAACCTCTAAACGTTTGTTCTCTCTGAGCTTTCAAAATTATTATAAATACCACGGTGTCTAAGACTCAATTATGGCTTCTTTCATACAGCTTAGGAGCACAGCATGTCAGGAGCTCCCACATGAAGAACCATAAGACACCAAGTACAAGGAAGTGAACCCTGATGCCTGTCTGAAGTGTAAAGCAAACACATTTTGGGCAAAATTCACTCAGTACGAGACCTGAAAGGGACTTGGTCTCTTAGATCTTACATTTAGCCTTATTCACTGAGCATGCATGAAACCTGCCCTTGCTTACATTTAGTATTTTAAAGACAGCAACACTTTAGGATGTATTTTCCTCAAATAATTTTATCTGTTCTGCAGCAAATGTGGCTCTCTGGCATGCTGTGCTCACTGTGCCCATGGGCACATCCCAGGGACCCAGCAACACAGGCAAAGAGCTGAGCTAAAAGATTCCTAAGATGGAACTGGCTTGGCTCCAGCCAGTGGAGCATGGGCAGAGAGAGCTTTGAGCTGTCTTTAACTCTCCTGTATAGGCATGCCCTGGAAAGGATTACACTTTAACAGAAATCTAGATATTTCCTCAACGGTGCTGAGATATGTGGCTCCCAAGGTCCACATCATTAGTCATAAAAACAAACAGTCTAACCTCTGAAACAAAAAATACACATGAGTCCTCAGTGACAGGGAATGGGAATACAGCTCGCTGCCACTGGAGGGGGGAAATTTGAAAACCTGCCACATAAACAAGTCAAAAAAAAAACCAAAACACTTTTGCTGGTGAATTAAAGTTACAAGAACAGCTTGGAGACAATTTAGGTTGAATAATTCTTGCTTCTATTCTATACAATGCTTCTATTGTAAGTCAGAGCATGTAGGCTGCTTTAAGGTGGTAGTTTAAATGCAGTATTGTTTCTTCTGCTAGTCTTTAAAAGTGAAAAAAAATGTTATGGAGCCTTTTTAATAAATTGGTATTAATTAGAAAGAAAACTCCAATCATTTTCTACAGAAAGACAACATGAATGCAAATGGAAAGGCAGATATGTCACTTCCTTTCCTGAGTTACGTCAAAGCCAAAGAGGATCTGCCACATTGTGCCACGGAGAAGAGAACTGTCAAGAAAAGCAAATCATCACATTAAGAATATTGATTAGTAAGAATTAAATACATTATGAGCTATAGGTAAGATTCAGATATATGAAGTGTTCAGGTGTCTCCTATCTGCTCTCTTGTTGTTTTCATATCAGATTTTGAAAATATACAATTTAATCTGTGTGGCTTCCTCAGACTGAGGATTCATTAAAGGAGGCCCCTCATTAAGTATTTGCAGTCAGCCTCTTCAATTGCACAGGTCAGCACACAAGTGCCAGTGTTCCAGGCCCACTGGGCTAGTGGTGGACACAGAATCCAAGCATGGTACCCTCTGTTATAAATGCTACATATTGTCCTTCTGTCATGACAGATAAAGTGGAATATTTTGTTAAGAAAGTGTGCAAAATTACAAGAATCAGGCATAATGCTGTGTTTCTCACAACTTAAGAAAATCTTTTCCATGATAAATGAGTTGTGAATCTCCCATATATGAAGCATTTAAACAGATGGATAATCACCACAGCAACCAAAACCACCACAGAGTCATTCAGGAGCATTTCATCTCTGCACACTCCACTGTCAGGTTTCATGCTATAAGGAGGCAGTATTTTATGTAACAGAAGACTAGCCAATGCTTTTAGGTAACTCACAGCAGTTTCTAAGGTAGGTGAAAAATCAGAGGACCAATTATAAGCTGCAGGAACAGCATTTTTTTACACCTTGGTTCACATTTAAGGTGACCTGACAAACCTGTTGCTGATTGTTTGCTGCATCTTGCATCTCTGCTCCTTTGCATTTGTATTTCTGTTGTCTTCTTCATCCACATTTCCTCCTCTCTTCTTTTCCCTGCGTAACCTCAATCTCCCTCTAATCGCAGAAATAATTAATTATTCAAGCAGAATAAAGCAGCCCAAAAAGGAGAAAGCAAAAGAAACAATGACCTAACGAAAAAGGAGAGAACTTCTCACAGATCTGAGATAGTCCCAGTTGCTGCCACACAAGGCAGCAGCGTCCACCGGCCCCGAGCAGCGCCCGGAGCGCCCGGCACGGAGCATCCTGCGCTCGCCTCTCCATCCTTTGTGCATCCCCGCAGGCAGCGAGGCACGGCAGGAGCAGCGGCACGGGGCCACGCCAGGCTTGGCCAAAAACAGCTCTGGGATGTTTCAGTGCTGCTTCAACAGCCATGGCACGCACGAACCTTTGGGAATGTCTGGGATGGGCAGAGTCTCTCCCAAGGGCACAGTTGGCAGGGATGCGGCTTTGTGGTCTCCGTGCACTGGCAGCAAGGACAGAACATCATCGAGTCCTACTCACACTCGTGCAAGTTTTCACATTTAATTGGAGTTAACTCAGGGCTTTTAAAAATCACAAAACAACCTGGACACTGGCTGTAGTGATCGGTGGGTGGGAGAGGAAGGAGATCAACTCGATTCCTGATTTTCAACCCGTGGATGCAAACCTTATCAAATGTGCAACAGAAAAAGGTTGGATCCTGGGAAACTTACAGAGGCAGACATAACAACTGATTTTAAAAAGTCTGAACTTTCTTCGTAAATGAACTGGATGAACTGGAAAATACCAATTTGTCTAATTAAAGTGCTTTTAAGTCTAGCCATTTGAGATTATGTTTTCATTTGATCATTCTGGTTGTTATTAATTTGAATATCTCTGAAACATGTTTATGTCTGCTGCTTCTTCTGAGACAGGTTTCCAAAATGAGGAACACACTCCATTGGATTAATATTCAGTAAAATCATAATAATTTTCTGAACTTATCCTGAAAGGCTGAAATCTGATAATCTTTAAAAAAAACAAGAATTCCAGTTTATTTTTAAACATGTTAAAATCTGAACTGATTTACACTCATCCAGAAACAAAATATTTTGCCAGTTTTCACTGCATACACTTTCAGCAATTCTGACAAGATTATAATTTCTCCATATAATATTTTAACAATATTATAATTTATGTAATTTATGGCTGTAAGACTGAACTTCTTAATGAACCATTAGATCTGCAGAAAAAGGTGAGTGCTAATACACACACCTTGACTAAATTGGAAAATACGCTTTTTAGAATTTATTTAATCTCTTCCATGATTTTAAATATGTTACTTCCTGTTCTGGATTATTTCATGGTGTTATTGTGAAACACTGGTGGCTGCTGTGTTTATTTCACCATGGATGTGCATTCATTTCACTGAGGGATAAAGCTTGGTAATGGGTAAAAGATTTTGCAATCCTGTACTGGGTGGCTCAATATAAACCTTAATTATCCACCTTACTTGCAACAAAAACATTTTACTGCATTGAAGGTCTTGAAGTTTGGGATGATAATGGGTGGTGATTACACATGGATTTGTTTGTATTATACAGAGGGGAAGTTGGAAAAAAAAAAAACAAGGGAATATAGCGGATAATGCATAGCACGAGCTGAAGTCCACAAACAGTCTAATTGAATGGCAGCACATTAAGTAAATAAGAGGAATAAAGAACAAAGGTAACAGCATGGAAGAGTTTACAGGGACAGGGTGTCCCATTTAAGCCATGCCGCTGGATGAGCAGAGGTCACGCCTGGATGACCGGGTCGCCAATAGTTCCATCCCGATTCAGCCGGGGGTGACACTCGCCGACCCTTCCCTTCCAGCGGGACCTGCCAGCGACGGGGGGAATGCAGGTGAGCCCGAGCTGCCCTGGGACCCGCAGGGCAGAGCACAGGGCGGCCCCGAGCGCAGCGGGAGCCGGGAGAGGGGCAGGAACCCATCCGGGACGGGGCCAGACCTCGGGAACCGTGCCATGAGGCGAAGCATTATTAAAAAACACCGCCCCGCAGCTGAGAGGCACCGGGCCGGCCGCACAAGCCGCGCTGTCCGGGGAGCCGGCACTGCCGCGGGGCCAGGCCGGGCGGGGGAGAAGCGGCCCCGAACGCCGCGATACCGGGGCCAGGCCGGGCGGGGGAAACGGCACCGAACGCCGTGGTACCGGGGCCAGGCCGGACGGGAGAAACGGCACCGAACGCTGCGGTACAGGGGCCAGGCCAGGGGGGGAAGCGGCACCGAACGCCGCGGTACCGGGGCCGCCGTAGCCCGGCGCGCCGGGGCAGCCCCGACATGGCGGCGGGGGCGGGCGGCGGGCGGGGCGGTGACGCGGCGGCGGCGGCCGGTCGGTCCCAGCAGCCCCAGCGCTGCCCGCAGTGACGGGCGGACAAAGGGGCGCCGCGCCAGCCCGCACCAGCGGCCCCGGGCGGGTGAGTCGGGGCGAGGGGCGACAGCGGGCACGGGGCGGGCGGGCGAGCGGAGCGACACCTGCGGCCCGGCCTGCGGGGCCGCGCAGCTCGGGACGGGCCAGGCCTCACGCCCCTGCCCTCCGCAGGCCCTGCGGGAGCGCGGCGGGGCCGGGACGGGCAGCGGGGCGGCGGCCGCGCTCCGAGGCCCCGGCCTGGCGCTGGTTCCCCTCGGGGCCGCGGCTCGCTGTGGGGCCGGGGATCGCTCCGAGGGGCTGGGACCGGGGCCGGGGTCGGGCCGGGCGGTGCGGTGGGGGCGGTGCGGAGGTGCCGGGCCGGCTGCGGGAGGCGCCGTTATCGCGCAGCTGCCTCAGCCCGTATCGCTGCCGCTCCTCGGTGGAGAACAAAGAGGATCAATTAAGAGTGTGCAATTACGGCCGTGCCCTGCCGGCAGCAGGCACAGCTCGGAACGCCTTTCCTCCCGTCGCTCTCCCAGGGAAGAGTGCTCCCCTCTGTTAATCTGAGGCGGTTTGGGGCCACGCAGCGCTAATGAGCACAACACACTTTAAAAATCAGCCAGTTTAGTGCAGAAAACACAAACTTCAAGTGGGGAAATAGAGACTAAAGCACATGTGCCCTTGAATGTCTTCTCTAGGATCTTTGTGAGCCTGTAGCAGAATGGATCAGAAGCAATGCACAGTTGTTAATTATTTTTTCACTGCTTTTCATGCCTCTTAGTTGCCTGTAAATATTTCCTTCTGTTAGTCACCTTTTCAGCATTTAAAAAAATGTGGTCCTAATAAATCTTGCTGATCAGCATGATCTATGTGTGTGGTCATCCATGCCAATAGTTAATGCTCCAAGACTCTCATTTTACAGCATCCTGGAGATAGTTACTGATGACATTTCTCGTCATCCTGTGAAGGGGTAAACAGTAGCAGTTTTGCAAAGTATCAGTGCAGCTCTGCTGGTTCAAAGGGAACCGTCTGCCTACTGAAATACTTTGCAGAATGTGTGCCTCCATAGATCAGCAAATTGAGGTGAGGTTAACCAACTTGCTCAAGGTCATGGAGTGTCAGTGACAGAGTTAGCAATAATGGAATCCAGCCATCCTGGCTGCTGGCTCTGTGCTCTCATCATTGGGTGGCGCTCCCAAATAATTGCAGGTAGTTTAAACATCGGTTTGCGTAAATGCACGTTGAGGCCTTCAAAACATTTTGGAGAAAGAAAATGTTTATGGTGTGCTTCAGGTCCCATGCTGCATTTGCAGGTAGCTTAAAGTGATTGTTCAGCTTGGCATAGGAGGGAGTTTTGAAGAAGACTTTGGGGTTTATTTTGTAAATATGCACTCAAAAAGCATCAGTTTTACTGAGTATATAGTGTAGAAAGACTTGTGTAGATTTAGGGGGTAGATCATGAGATGTAACAAAAGTAGATTACACTGTAATTAGTCAACTTTTAAAACAGCAGTGTGGAGACATGACTGTGAAGAGTTTTTCTTCAGAATGAAGTGTTTACTCGATGACATTCTGTAGAGTTATTTGCAGTTATTGTGAAGAAAAACAACCAACAAATGCACTGGGAAGCCATGGTGATGAGTGTGTTGGAAGTTAAAATGGGAACAAAAAAGTTCCTCAGTTGATTTATTTATTCAGCAGATACTTGTTAAGTAAAAACAAATCACAATGGATGTTATTTCTGACCCTGGAGAGCAGTTACGTTTCACTTCGTGTTTTTCTCTGTCAAGTTAAATTTATGAAGAAAGGGATTTCAGAGGAAACACTGGCAGATCTGTGCTATTGTGACACCAGCAGTATATATTTAGTAACTTTAGGGAGGAAAGATCCCTATTGTGCTGAAAAAATACCGGTGACAATTGTTTGTCAGGACTTCAAAGGGCCCTGAGAAGTGAGCTGGCATTGTTCAGGTGTTACCTCTGACAGATCCCTGCTCCTGTGGGAATTTCATCGGTACTGCTGGGAGAAGCCCATCTGTGCAGTGCAAATCGCAGGCCTGAGACCACAGATCCTGGGTTGGGACAGATTTGCTTGTGCTTACCTTTATCTGCAAGTGTTGTGGTGACTGTTGACCACAAAATTTAGTGGTTGTGGTGCAGTGGAGGTGCAGAAGAGCGGCAGCTGAATTTCTGTTCATGAACTGTCTGGGGTATGTGACCTTATTCTCACTGTTAGAGCTGCTGTGGGGTTAATCTGGGCAGAGAGGTTGTGGTGATACAAACTTCCTCTGTAAAAATGTTGGCAGTTTCTCGTTGATGGGAAAGGTGTGCTGTCATCAAGTCTATCAATACTAAACCATCACATCTCCCCAGCATATGTGTGGTTTATCAATCAGTCTTTGGGAAAAGTGCTTTTACTGCTGTCACTTGGTGAGATGTCCCAGCAAGGCGAGTTCTAAGCTAGAACTGTTGTCTTGAAAAGGCTGCTGGTTGCTTTTTTAGGAATCCAGAAATTTATACCCTGAATGACACTGCTGTGTCAGCAAATGTGTCTACTATAGTCCTGCCAGACGTCACTTTTGCAAGTTTGGGTGGTAGCTCCTCATCCAGCCAAGTTAAATAGGAAAAGGAAGCAATAATGGGATATACTTTTTTAAGATTGGTGGCTTTCTGCATGCAGGTTGTGGAATCCTGGGAGTTTTGCACGCTGTTTTCCACAGATGTGTAACAAAAATGAGCCTGTTGATAGGTGTTGTGATCCTTTCCTCCACTGATGCTGAGAATTGTGGGGGTTTGGACCCTGAACACTTGCCATGGACTGAGCTGAAGAAACTGGAGATGTGGGATGAAGCCAGGAATTGGAATGAAACATGTGCAGTGTTTAAATAAAAAAACTAAAGCATCAAAATAATACTGATTATTATAAACAGTACTTGAAAATGTTATTAAACATAGTCAATTAAGTTGTCTAGCAGTAGCTTGCTGTTGGTTTTATGGTAGCTAAAAACATTTATTTGAAAAAAATCCCTTTTGTTAATGTCAAAATTTGCCTGTATTTCTGTTACACATGATGTTCCAAGTTTAGATAGGTATGAGAACCAAAGATTCCAACATATTCTTACTGTGTACTGCATTGAGCTAACTTTGGTAAGAGAAATTTAAATAAATAATTCTTAATCTTCTGCCTATGACAAGCATCAAAAGGTATTTTGTATTCCTACATGCTGGCAGTTTTTCCACATTAGCTTTTCATATAGTCTTTATATGTTTGAATGGAACAATGAAACTCACTTTGCAATCGTGCATGAAGTTGTTCAAGAAATAATACTTACACTTGCTGTACAAAGTCATCCCAGAATTTGTTGATTCTTCTGAAACAAAAGAGATTCACCATAATTCCAAGAAGCACTCAGAACCCAAATTACCACTTAGAGAGTCATTTCTTTTTCTAGACTCTTCTTAATAAGGTAACAGAACATCAGCTTGGAACACTATCATTGGGGATTTGTTTTCAGAATATTATTAGTAGCATTTCAGTGAAGTGGAAACAAACCTGTGCTCTGAAAAGGAACTGGATCATGGGGAAAGACATTCCAGTGAGATCCATGAATTTAAATTCTACAGGGATAATTTGCTATTTTAATAACTAAATGAATAAAATTAAAAGTTTAGTTTGTGAATAAGAATCAGAACCTGTAAATCTGATGGTATGACAGATACACTTTCGTAAACACATCAACGTGTGTCATGTTTCAAGTATGGAATACGTATCTGGTGCTTGGAAATGTGATCATCATGATGTTTATAATGCAGAAACAAGCGTTTGTTTTTGATTGTTCATAATGTTTGGGCTATTTGCTGCTAGAAATTTTAGAAGCTAAATTCTTTAAGGTGCAACTATCCAGTGTATTGAGCTGGAGAACAGCTAAAATGTGCCTTATTTTAAAAAGCTTTAGGGTAAGTGGAAATGACATCTAATGAATCAGTAGAAACTGTTTTGTTATTTTAATATTTTTTGCTATAAAGTTAGACCTCAAAGGACACCTTCAGTTTGATAATTAATCTATAGAAGCTGCAGTAAAATATGACGTTCTTGGGGAGGAGGAAAAGACTTTGTTCTCTCTGTCATGTGTTAAGTCAATGGTATGTGTGCTGAGGAGTCTGGCCTTAATTTTATTTTATGAATTACATTTGAGATTGTTTCTTGGTTGGGTCATAGGTTCTGGTTTTAGTTCTGGAATGTCACTCAAAATAAAACAGAACTCTGGGGGGTGGCAGGGGGAGAATTGTGACTTTGGTTAGAGGTAGTGGTGGTAGAGAAACCTGTCATCTCATAATAAAATAGTAAACCCCAAATCTGTTTGGTGTTAGTCATCCCAGTCATTTTTCCATTCATTGCCTGTAACTATCCAGTTGGAACAGGGAGTTTGGTTTAAACAAGACATGAAGGTGTTCCCCATTCCTTTGTTCTGAATCCCTGGGATTTGACATAGCTGGGTGCCTAGGTGAGGAGATTCCTAACTTGTTATACCTCATCCGGGGTGGCCATCCCCATGGAAAGGCTCCTGCCTAAGCAGTGACTCCTGCTGCCTCAGTGTCCTGTCGTTTCCTCATTTCTGCCCTCGTGTTTCTGAGGTGTTGCTGTCCTGAGGCAAGGATGGGATTGATTTTTGCTGTAGTTTGGTTTGTGTTGCAAAGACCCAGCATAAGCAGCCCTGTTCATGGACTGGGCCCCCAAATGCTGCCATGATACACTGGAGAAGTGCTTATCTGTTTATTTTGTAGCAGTTTGTTAAATAGATGGAAACCCAGTGCAAGTATTTTTTCTATTTCAGTATTTTTGAGGGAACATAAGTAGAGGTAGATTCATAATCAAGCATCATGTTTTATATTTTTGCACCTTTGTTAACTGCCTCTGTTTAGTATAGACTTATGGAAATAATCTTCTTGCCTTTTCTCTTTTTTTCCCCGTTTTTTCCTTTAGAATTGCCAAAATGCTTTGGAATTCTTAAACGATTCAAAAACTGAAGTCTCTGAGGATACAAAATCATAAGAACACAAGAAGCAGCAAGGAGGATTCAGTGCCAATGCAGCAACAAAAAAGACAGCCAGAGTTAGTGGAAGGAAATCTTCCTGTTTTTGTTTTTCCTACAGAACTTATATTTTATGCAGATGACCAGTCAACACACAAGCAGGTGTTGACTCTATATAACCCCTATGAGTTTGCCTTAAAATTCAAAGGTGGGTTTCTTAGGTTAAGTTCTATTTAAGGGTTAGTTGATGATCTTGAACAGTCCAATTATAATTCATGTAACAAATCGTATCTGTGACAAAACCAAACTCTTGTCTCTATACGTATCTGTTGATGAGGCTGGTGATGTATTCATGATTTGTTACCACTCCTGTCCTTTTCCTTGCAGTTCTTTGTACAACTCCAAATAAATATGCAGTGGTGGATGCTACTGGTGCAGTGAAGCCTCAGTGCTGTGTTGATATGTAAGTAGAAGTTGGTTGGGATTTTTCCTAATATACAACATTTTATTAGCTTTATTTCTATCATTATTTAAGAGGTTGTAAATGACAGCATGCGTGTTATAATATATAAATTGGATAAACATATGTTTTCCTAATTTCCTGTATACCTGTGGCTCTGATTTTTGTTCTTTCCTTCTAAAGCAGAGGTATTACAGTATTGGAGATATGTCCTTTAATTTTGCCTTTTGGCATCAATGAAGTGCCAGTAAATGCATCTTGTAATGGAATTTGTAAACCAGGAGTGAGAATAATATGAGCCTCCTCTGAGCACCTTTCCATTAGAAATAACAAGAAGAACAAAACCCCAAGGGCTGAGATTTGTTTGTGAGAAGTACTTGTTTGCAGATTGGCAAAATGGAAATGTATGCAGTTATACTGAGCACATTTTCCTGGGCCATGTTAATAAAGGTAGTTTTGCCTACCTTTCACCCTGACCACCCATCTCATTCTCAGATCTCTTTATCTCCCCTTTGTCTCTCCTGTCAGGTGTCATCCCAGTAACTCAGAACAGAAGGAGGCTGCTTAGGTGACCACAGTAATGTACAGGGTCTGTAGGCTGCTGAAAGCTGAAGCAGAGTAGGTGTATAAGCTAAAATAAACCAACTCTTTTTATCTTCTATTTGCCACATTATTTCTGTGCTGATGTACATATACAGCTGAAGAAAACCTGGAGTACCTAAAAGAGCAGACTGAACTTTTTGAATTGACATTTTCCAAATTGTAAAACACCACCTGGAAACTCTGGCTAACAAATGGCCATATACAGAAACCTTTTGTCAGATAAATAATAACTGTTCTTGGGGAATGGATCTTTATTCCTATAGACTGTTTTCCTTAGGTGCAACTTGAAAAATTCCAGGGACTCACCAAATAAGAAGGAAGTTTAGAACATGGAACTAGAAGGTTTCAGTAAGCAGGGGCAACAATGCTAAAAATGGAACTAAACAGGTCAGAATATACCAGTGTACCAGTGAGCTGTTCCATTCTTTAGCAGACATTTACACAAGCTTGGCTACATTTGGTTAAACAAATGGGTTTTATTAAATAAAGGAAGATAAGACATACATGTGTTCCAAGGGGATTTTTTTGTGCAGCAAAACCCCCCATTCCATTCCAGTGGTTGCTGTCTAAGGACAGTGTTTACTGCTAGGATATGAGCAGTACTATGCAAGTGTGGCCATTTGCCAGATAAACAGATATTCTACAGAGCTTCCAATTATGCAATGATCTCTAAAAAGAAACAGGAGAATGTATCTGTTTATAAGGGTCTGCAGAAAATATCTCCATGCTTGGCAGCAGATACATGTTCTCCTAGCACAGTGTTATGTAAAGGTTCTGTTTAGGTTGGTAGTTGGTACCATGGTACTAGGAGTAGGAACACCAATTTAAAAGGAAGTGTTAAAGGAAGAAATCAGAGTTGATCTGCTGTGCTGATATGCTGAGAGCTGTATGAATTAGGATTGTGGGGGGAAAAAGCCTTTTGTTTTAGTGAAGGCAGTTGCCCAGCCAACACTCCACTTGCTGAAAGCCTGTCATAGGAACACTCCTTTGCCTCTGAAGTGACGTAAAACATCACTGCAGCCTCTTGCTGAGGGGATGACTTGGTCTCTGTTTCTGTGTTGAATAGTCTATTCAAACTAGATACCAGTTGCAAGCACTGGCTACGTGCTAATGCTTGTGGATATCTTGATGTGATATAGGTCTTTTAAATGAAGACTGAAAAACAATTTCTTGCAGCATTTTAATGTAAATATTATCACAAAGATCAGTTTATTGAAGCAATTTTAAGACTACTATTCTGTGTTAGTAAGGGTACAGTCATTTTTTTTCCCCCTCATGAGATAGCAACTTTTTGATTTGTATGTATGTTCTTCAGATTAGCTGCTGTTATCTTGGAAATTTAGAATAACCTTTCACAAAAAAAACATCTGGAAAAACAGTTGATATCCTTATTTACCCTAAGAGCTGATACCACTTCAAACCCTAAATATTGTAGCTTTTCAATGCTAGATACGTATTCTCATGATGAATCATGAATGCAGAGAGAAGGCAGTTGAGCACAGCACTGCTCAGAGGTCTGTTTTGCTGTTGATCAGTGCTATTTTAAAGCTGTGCTTTTTATAGATTCCAAACATGCTCTCAGTGGTGGGTTTCTGATTTTGAGAATCCCTAGCTGACTCTTGTCTGTAGAGGGAATGACTTTTGCTTCTGAGAAAGTAGAATTGTAAAGCTTTGAGCCTGGTTTCCTCAAGAAGCTGGACTGTTGCTTGCCAAACATCTGTCCAACTCCTTTCCTTCCCTCTCCACTCCCATCCCCTCATTTTAAAATCATTGGCCAGCATCAAACAACTTTGATACATGAGGAGGAGGCATCTTTCAGATAATTGATGTTTTGAGGCAAAAATGGGCTTGAGATAAAGACTTAATTGTCCTCTTTGGCCAGGAGCATTAATATTTGGGAATTAAAGCAAACATAAGGAGGGGAGAGAGGAGGTAAGATCAAGTCTTCAAGAGCATTGAGTGATGGAAGAGGTAATGGAGGTCTGGATTATTCCAATTTATCTGGAGGAGCGGGGACAGAGGGCAAACTTTGATACAGGATGTAACTCCACAACAGGCATGCTTCTTAGTAGTTCATCTGTTTGAAAATGTTTTTCTACATCTGTCTGAAAATGTTGTTTTTCTACAGTGTGATTCGTCACAGAGACGTTCGGGCTTCTTACTATGGTGTCATAGATAAATTCCGTCTGCAAGTGTCTGAGCAGAGCCAGAGGAAAGCATTAGGGAAAAAGGAGATTATTGCTACTCTGCTTCCATCTGCAAAGGAACAACAACAACAAAAGGAAGAGGAGGAAAAACGAATAAAAGAACACCTGGCTGAAAGTGTCTTTTTTGAGCAGACTTTGTGTCAACCAGGTAGCTGAAATCTTTTACCCCTCCTATGTTCTGAATCGGTTTTGAACAGCTCAAGTGACTAGACTTAAAATATTTCTTAAATATAAACAGAAATAAATTTTAAAATAATTCATTTTATTCACCTGTAAGACTGCTGTCTTTATCACTTGAGGATGACAGTATTCAAGAACCCAAACTGTAGCTATTCTGTTTATGCTGTCTTGCTCAATCAAGACCCTTTGCTGCCCTATGTTTGCATGCCATACCTTGGAGAGTGCATCCACTGTTCCTCTGGAGCAGGAGTTCTCCTACAGACAATGGGAATTAATCTGTGGAAGGATGGTGGTTATTTTTTCCCTTGGGCTCTTTCAAAACATGCCCCTTCTGAGTTTGTTCCAAACCCTTAATCCCTCATTTCCTGATGAGCAGAAAATATTGCCAGAACATCTTCTAAAGTGCTCCTTGTTCTGTGCCCTGTCCTTTGTCTGTCCCACAGTAGATGGCTGAAAACTCTGTGTGTTTCATACACACAGTGAGGAAGTGAATCAACAGTCTTGAAAACCTGGGCCAGACAGTTAAATGGAAGGGGTAGGATATAAAGTGTCAAATTGTACCTGAAATGAATCTAAACTGATTATTGAAGGTCTACATTCTTCTTACTTTTACTGATTTATATGAAATGTTCTTGTCATTGTTAGATTTTTCAGGACAACAAAAATCTATTCCAGAAAATAGCTGAACCTCCTTGAGAGTGTTAATGTTATTAAAATGAATCTGTTTCACTATTTTTACTTAGTTTGTTGACTGCTGAAACACTTTTTATTAAAAAAAACCCCTTCATAATAGATATTAGTAGGATACACAGTTAAAGCAAACCTGCAAAGGTCTCTGGGCTCACAGAATAAAATGTTCTGTGATAGTTGCTCCAGGACTGAGGGCCTGAGCTATCCTGAGCAATCTGATACTGGTCTTATTCCAAATGCTGTTTCCCTGCTTAAAAACTTTGTTGACTATGTTATATTGCTTACTTACAGAAAAGCAGTAAACAAAGAAACTCCAGTTTTGCATGTAACCTGCAACCTGGAAATAAGAGATTTATAAAATTAAAATACAGCACATATTGCTAGTCACTGAGGATAGGAGGAAGTGGTAAAAACATCGGCTATTTTCCAGTGGGTCTTAAGGATTTGGTTAGAAGTATTCAGCTAACATGTTGACAGCTCTTTTCAAAGATGACACAGTGGGCCTTTGAGTAGGTTCCAGCTGTTAAAGTGCAGGGCAATAAAGACCATGAAGGACTCTTTATTGTCTGTGGTTTGCATTTCCTTATTCTGGTAGTCTGACTGGACTGTCAGAGTGGTTCACTCTCACAGTTTTTAAAGTAAGATTCAAATTTTACTGATTTGTGGCATCTAAACTGACACTGGCTCAGGTGTAGCCTGAGCCTGTAAAGAATGAAGGGAATGTACATTCCTGTGAAGAATGAAGGGGAGCTCATCTGGCCCAAGAGCCTGTGCTCCTGCTGCAGACAGCTTTTGATCAGGAGGTGGGAGCAGTTACCTGCCTGTGCAGGTCTTTTGGGTGCTCTTAACTGATTGATTACTGACACTGAAGGAACATATCGAGGAATGGAGTCAGGATGCACGAGGAAACCTCAAGCATTGCTGAGACATCCAGCTGGCCTGAGTGTGTATATATAGCAACTGGGCCTGGCAGGCTCTGTTTCTCCAGAAGGGAGGGGTTTGGGAAGTCATGTGAAAACAAGTTCCAGCATCAGAACAGGGAGCAGCCTCCTCCACTGCAGAATGCAGAAGGTTTAGAAGGGTGGGTTTAAGAGTTGTCTTCCACCTCCTGCAAACTCCACAGCAAAAAGGAAAATCTGAGGGTATTTCAGCTCCCATATACTGCAGGCATTTTTGCAGAATACTTAATGTTTATATTATTTAGATCTTCCTTGTAATTGGTGCTGTCTTGCTTTTTCAGAAAACAGAACTGCCTCGTCGGGACCTAGTTTACTCACAGTCTTCCTTGGAGTAGTGTGTGTCGCAGCACTAATGCTACCTACATTGGGGGAAATGGAATCCCTGGTGCCTCTCTACCTCCACTTAAGTGTGAATCAAAAGTTAGTAGCTGCTTATGTTTTAGGTAAGTACTTGGGATTTTATAAACATTTTCCTGCAACATTTATGAGTTTGGAAAACTTCAGCTGCCTCGGCCAGCGGTCTCAGGAAACTGGATGGAGACAAAGCACCACGTTACATTTTGTAGATCCTAATTTGTAGCCATGGTGATAGCAGGGTAAATTAAGTGTTTTAGACCAGATTTGAGTTGATCCCTATTGCACACAGGCCCCTACGTGCTAATTTCAGCTTTATTTGGTGATGGGCCAACAGCAGTCATCTGCCAGCACACCTGAACGGAATGTGCTGTTTCTTACTCTTGCATTGCAATAGTTCCTCTATTGCAGAATGCAGAAGGTGTTACTGTGTTTCTCCCTCCAGCCCCCATGAGCTGCTTTTAACACCTCATTCTCAGTACCTGTTTAACAAGCAGTTGATATGTGTAGCAGTAAGTTGTTGTAAACCCCGAGACCACTACCATCCACAGTTCTTCCTGATCTGTGACTTGCTCCTGTATTAGCTAGCATAGATGAGTTCAACATTTCATTTGTTATGACTATTTCTCTGTAACTATTTCAGATTTGAAGAACAGTCACACTAAACTCAATTCTCCTGTCCCACTACGTGGCAGAAATGAGGATTTAAAGGAAAAGAGCTAGGCAGCTCCAAACTGATAGCTAGAGGTGAGGTAGTGATGGGAAAAGGTGCAAGTTTGTGATGGTTCATGCACACTCTGCTGATTCACAAAGGTCCATCTGCTGAAGTGGTTTGAAATCTCACTTGTGGCTCTTTGCCCAAGCTGATGCTGATGGATTCTCAGATCAGGACCTTGCAGTAATCCTCACTTTGTTTTTATCTCTGCTTTTGAAAATTACTCCAGGTTCTGCTGGCACCACTACAGTTTTAAGCCTTTTGACTTTATACATTTGCAACAACAAACCTGTTTCTAGATTCCCTATGCAGTTTGGAGAGGTTTTGACTTCCTTGCTGGCAGCGTTTTTAGTGTTTTCATGGAGAGATTCTTTTGTGTGCAGCTCTTGCTCATGTAGAAAGTCAATTGCTCTTGAAAAGTTGAAACACTTTATTCCACAAGGAAGTACAACTCGATTGTGGAGCATTTAATTGGAAAGTGTTATACCACACCAACAGGACTATATGATATTTGAGAAGTATTTGATTTACAGAAATGAGTTAAACCCTTTATTGTCTGGAAGTCCCTGTACAAGTGGTTCTCCAGAAGCCTCTGCTGTTCCTCTGTGATGAGGGAATTGATCCAAGCTAAGGATCCAGCAGCTGTGGGAGCACTGATTGTCTGCACCAATACAGACCTTAATAAATAGCTGAGCTGTAGTTCCTCTTTAAGGGATGAAATGGAAGGCAGTGTTGCAGCTTTGTTCTGTCATGCTCCTGCCTTCACCATCTTCATAAAGTAGCCAAGTTCAATCAGTATGGAGTGGCAGGAGATGAAATAGTCTCAGAAATTCTTTATCCATGGTGAGATCTGTAGGCTTTAGCTGAGCTTTCTGCAGTGAAAGGCTGTTACAGTGACACCATCTGAGCCTGCAAGAAATTGAGATTGCCCAAGAACTGATGAATTGTTATTTTGATGTTGCATAAGGCTGGAATTCAGGGAGCCCCTATGTTCTTCCATCTGCCTCTCTTACCTTGTGCAATATGACCCATTGCTAAGAACTGCACATTTGTACTTTTTCCTATATCAACACATAATTAAAACTTTTCAGTGTGTCACGAGTAGGTTTATTAGCCTCTGTTTCCTGTTTTCATCTGGTTTTAATTGTTTTTAACCTCGATCAGAGCAGTCCTTTTTTTCCCTCCCTCTCTAAAGGTCACAACAAAGAGTCTGTTGAAAGCTCCCTCTGCAGACTGACAAGGAAGTTTAACATCTTTGTCTAAAACTGGTCTTTGATCAGTTATTATTCACAAAGCAGAAAAAAAAGCCTTGGAGCCTTCAACTGATCTGCCTTACTGATGATTCAGCATTGGAATGACACTGCCCATAACTGGCCCCCATGAGAAATGGGGTCTGGGTGCTGGTGTTACACTTACTTAAGTCAAAAGTTCAATGTTAAGATTTTCCAGCAGAGAGATCAGTAATTGTTTGGAGTATTTCTGTCTTCTTTGACATTCAGTTATTAAGTGCACCACACGTCAGTGTTGATTTTTGACTATATCAAAATTTGGAGTGATACTTCTAATATTTAAGTGTGTGTATAAATGCATTCTGCATGTATTTATGCACTTTTACCGTGTTTTCTGGCCTGTGACAGGGTAAACTCTTTATTTTAAATGTTTTATTTTGAGTGAAATAGAAGTGTTTAGTTCTTAATTCTTGTCTTTCAGGTCTCATCACCATGGTTATTTTGAGAACATGAGCAATGAGTTCATAGGATGTCAAACACCTTACTGTATATTCACATCATGAATGTGGACTGCCTTTTACTCCCATTTGGCTCATTAAGATGCTAGCAAAACTGTTCAGTGATTTAAGATACCTTCAGAAATGTAATATATTTTAACTGTGTATAATAAATGAAAGACTCAAAGCACTTTGCAGTGCTTCTGTAACAGACAGCTATGAAATGTTCAGTGATACCTGTGAAAATAATTTGAAAAAAACTTTTATATCTATGCCTACTGTAAAAAATCCTTATTAAAACAACATTTGTTATTTTTAGTCTATGTTCACATCAGTGCGTGATCACTATAAAAGCAAACTGTCTTCTGTAAAAAACCACTCATTTGGTTTGTGGTTGTACCTGCCAAGGCTGGCACGTAACACTTCTGTATATACATACCAGAGGGGTGAGAGTCATGACTGATCATTGAAGAAAATGAAAAATTCCATCAATGGAACTATGAAATAAACCGTGAATTTTAGGTGAAGAAGTAATTCTCAAATTTCTTACTTCATCATTACCAGTGTATCATTGAGTGCTCATTTTCTTACCTGGAGAAATAATTTCTTGCAACAGCCATTTTGTACCACAATTATTAGATAATAAAAACAAATTTCTGTAATCAGATCCCTTCATTTCTTAGGGATGCATGGAAGTGGCATTAATGGAAGCTGAACTCATATTAATACAAAATTCACCATTTTTTCTATTTTAGAGACCAAACTAAGTGAAATAGCAAAATTTCTCTACATCCCTCCTCCCACAGCTACCACAGCGAATTCTATCAGAAACTCCTGCTTAAATGCCAGTTTCATATTTGAGGTGAACATTAATCTTGTTTCATACAACAAGTATTTCCCTTCATATGACATTTCATTGTCGAGATGTTAATTCTAAAAGGGCAGCTATTACTGCATTGGATTCATACAGACAAATCTTTGTTTGTAAGAAGTCTATAGAGTATGCTCTGATATGAATAATAAAGTTTGGAAATCAAACCTTTCCCCCTGCATGTCATGGGTTGCTTTTCTGCTTACACATGGAAATACAAAGAAACCGTGCAAAAAATGTGTTTCTTTAAAAAAAAAAAAGGAAAAAGAGAAAGAGAAGTTTTTAAAAGTTGTTAACTACTACATTTTTTCTTACATACTGCTACTTCAATTTGATTCTCGGAAGAGCTGGGCTTGTGTCATCCATTGATCAGCATCAGATGATAAAGTCAAACATTCACATTCACTAAGAACAAAAACCAAAAAAGGTTCCCAGCTGCTTTAGAGGGCCGTGTGCCAGGGCCTGCTGCAGGCACAGCACCTCCCTCCAACACTGAGCTCATGGCTGGGTCAGTGTTTTCCTGCCTCTGCAGGCCTCTGTGCTCGTAGCTTCACTGTTCCTCAGTAGCTGCACTGTGAACTCTGATTTTCACCAGGTGCTTTAACCTGCTGCTGCCTGGGGAAAGGTGAGGGAAGGGAGCAGAAGTCGGGGAGATAAAAGTGCCATGTGGTACCTTATCTTAGCACCCAACAGCCAGGCTGAACATTCTGTTGTGCCCAAGCTGATTAAACAAGCCCAACAGAGCCCTTTTCCCCCCTATATCCTGTGGTTCCAGTCATGGACCAGGGTCATGTTTTGCCAGGCAGTTGCAGAAGTGAAAATCTCACCTGTAGGAACCCAGAGTCACTGAGTGACTGTAACCAGGTCTGACACCTGCAGCTGCCTCAGTCCTGCAGGACAGCACATGCATGGAGAAGGGAGATCACTGGACACAGATGCCAGCAGTGGTTTTCAAAGAATCTGAAGAGAAATGATTGGGTTAGAAAAACACCTCGACCAAAGAAATCAGGAACAGAAAGTTATCATCAACCAAAAAGACTAAAAGCACTGGACCACTTTGTCAAGGCAACGGAGGAGCAATACACAAAAAAAAAATAGATTAAATGCACAGAGTAACTCAGCAGATGCAGATAAAACAGATGCTTGGGTGAAATAAGGATGACAAGTGTGAATTCTGACTTCTTTCTCCTTCAGGGAGGTTGCAGCACACTGCAGAATCACAGATTTATCCCAGTTTAGGGATGTTTCAGTTCAGCACTGAGGGAGAACATATCAAGTTATGTTACAGCATAGTCATAGCAGGACACCAGTAAAATTTTACCAGGTGGATATGCAAGATCAGGAAGATATTTCCTGATTTTATGCCTATTTATGTACATGCACATACCTCTAGTACTTACATACTAGACTTTGAGAAAACACTGAATGTCTTTGGAAATAAGACCTGAGACACTGAATATACCTCTTAGAAACACCAGGAAAAGTAGTTAAGTGTTCACGTCATTTCCCATTCCTGACTCCTAACACAAACAAACAGTCATTTCCTTGCAATGGGCAAGTGCTTTCAGCAGACAGTTGGGAGGGCTTTGAGATCATCCAGCAGAAACAACCCTGGTGTTTACCCAGCACTTGCTGTGGCACCGATGCCTCAGACGAGCCGTGCTGGCAGCAGAAGTGGGAGTGTCACTCCCAGTCATGGTACATGATCTTCTCTAAGTGTTTGCACTTGTCTGGATCAGAAAATCCTGAGGTGATTGTGTTTCTCTAGAGGAGTGAATCACAGAGTGCTTGAAAACTTGAGTAGACCCAGTGCACCGTTGTTGCAGAGCTCCAGGGACAGAAGGGGCTGCCAGGGAATCAATTAATTGCACCAGAGATCAGCTGATAATGGAGCCCCAGGGAGCAGGGCCACCACCTGGAAACAAGCCAGCCCCTGCAAAGGGAAAAGCTGAGCTGCTGCTGCTGACATGTCTCAGGACATGCCCCAGGAAGACAATGGGGTGTTGCTGTCAGATGGGAACAGTCACTGCTCCTCTTGAAACCATTCCACAGGGATGTTTGCAGCAGCTCCAAGAGCAACCCATGCACAGAACTGTGCCTTCAACAAAAAAAAGCAGAGAAACCCTGCAATCAGCTAATTAAGAACTGTCAAAGCCAATCATATGTTATTTCATCTTATGCTCATCATATGTACAAGTATCTGACAACCAACAAGCCTAAACTGGAAAGAGGCTGCTGAATAGGTTTGGCAATAAATCATTGTATTTTAGTCCTCATTTAACATATATTTAAGATACCTCGCTTTCCTTCTAACAGCTTTCCTTATAAATGCCAAGTTTCATCACCCCTTTCTTTTGTCAGGAGTGTGAATCTCACACTTCAAACTTTCACTCAGGCCCACATCAAATTTAAGGACCAAGTCTTAAAAAGCCTCTTTTACAGGAGGCCTTAAAAAATCCCCAAACCTTGAATCATCTTCTCTGCCAGGTGGGTTTTGAGTTGCTGGGTTGGAGCAGCTCAGGTGCTTTCCCCTCTGACCTTGCATGAGCCCCTCTGGGCAGAGAAAAGAAGGGAACCAGGGAACCAAGCATGCAGGGCTGAGCAATCCTGGTACCGACCCTCCTGCCAGCTCTGTGCAGATACAGGGGACAAATGGCCGTGGAAAACAATGGAAAACAATGGAAAACAATGGAAAACAATGGAAAACAATGGAAAACGGGTTCTGTCCTGTGTCCCTGGGAAACAGAAGCTCACCTGCTTGCCACAGTGTAGGGAAGGCACCATCTCTCATAGAGCTGGAGGAGAAACAGCCAAAGTTAATAGTGCTGGAGTCTCTTTCCTGCAGGCATAATGTGCTGCCTGAGGAAATTAAATTAAAACTGAAACCACTGAAGGAGAGGGAAGTTCACTGCAGCCAGCAGCCCATCACTCACTTGTTAGTGCCCCACAGGAGCTCGTGAGGACTGGGAAACCAGCACCACGCAGTCAGCAAGAGCCATTTACAGATAACAACCTCAGTGAAAGGAGCCTGGAGAACAAGAGCATCCTCCAAAAGGAGAGCTGGAGGAATGAACACAGGCAGACAACACTCAGCATCTCAGCTAACGCCGAGTAACGAGTAAAGGGATACACTCGCTCACTTTTGGGTGTATTTTTGTCTTCTTTAGAAGCTCTCCACTGAACGCTAACGAGCTGTTTACTTTGGATAATGAGCTGTAGCTAATGCACGTCAGCTCTAGGAAATCTGCAAAGCTGTATGACCATGCTGACAATATAATGTGGAACTGCATGCAGGCAAAGCGACCACACTGGTCTTCAAAACAGCAGAGACTGCAAAGAAATAATTTAAGCAAGAGCACAACCACAATTACAGCTATGGATGTCTCCTCACTGTGAGGAAAAAGGCTGGTAAGGTCTACCTGAGTAACAGACATCCTGTAATGGAACTTAAATCCATGTTTCTAGTTTAAAAAAACAAAAGTCATAAAATTTTTCAAGAGCAAAATATGATTTATAGTTACAAAATTAGAGTATTGTTCTCTAGAAAACTGCATACTCAGTGGCTTGAGGTATGAACATGAAGGCATTAGATGAACATTTGCTTTGACAAACAAAAAAACACCATCAAGAGACAAAACTGCAGTAGGGCTCTGGAAACCCGTGTTCCATCAACATCACCAAACCCATTAGCGCCTTTCCCTCAGGAATCTGCCAGGAATCTCCACAATCCAAACCCACTGCTGAAGTGAATGCACTTAAAATGAAAGGATGTTGATGTTATTTTTAGCAGGAAGCTTCTTGCAGTGATTTACACTGGCTTGAAAGACAGCACAGTACCTGATTTCTGTGCCGCTAACACTGATGTGTGCTATGCACATGATGGATTTGATTTTTCTCCACACAAAGACAAAAACTAACCAGGTGAACCACATTTCCAAAGATTAGTTCCTGCAGCAAAATCTGCTTCCTCTCGAGCAGCTCTTCCTACCCCGGTTGACATCCAGCAAAATTCTTAAACATTTACATACAATTATTTGTTGTGGAAGGAAATCTTAAAATAGCAAGCATTTTCTAAGGCTCTTACGAAGGAAATAGAAGAATAAGAAACCAAACTAACAGAAGAATTTTAAATCTGATAAATGCCAGATTTGTCTGAGGAATCTTTGTGGCATTGGGGATGTCTCACCAGTTCCTTGAGAGACACAGGGGAGCCAGCACGAAGGCGTGTGAAGGCTTGTTTGGTTTTGGTTTGAATGCACTCGACTCCTCCCCCCTTCTGAAATTTCTGCTCCCAGCCAGCTACTGAAAGTCAAACAAGGTTATTCTCCTTCAGTGGCTTATTTTTTTTGCCTCCTCTCTCATGCTTGTACCACAAAGCCCCAGTGGTGGAAGCAGTGTCAGTGTGTGTGTGGGGTCTGTGGGATACAGGGTGTCTGCCTTGAGTGCTCCATGCCAGAGGAAAAGAATCTCCTAAGCAAGGCCTGGGCTGGCTGGCAGCTGCTCTCAAGTTGATCAAACAAGGATGCTCCCACCAGATATGCAGAAATGGGAAGGCTCCACTGGTACAGGTAAAATAATCACCCCTAGAAAATGAACCTGAGGTGACAATTTTTACACCCAGTAATTGAAAAGGATTCTTTCCAAGCACTCCTCTCTGTGTCAGTAAGGTTTTAATTACTGTACTGTAGCTGTAAACATTCAGCGTCATTTACAAATATTTTAACTTGTTGCTTCCAGGAGAAGAGGGATCAACTTAAACTCCATCTGCCTGTTGGTGATGAGAAAGGTTGCTTAAAACAGAATAGGAAGAGCTCACACAGTTTAATTATGACTCCTGAAGCTCTCTATTTTAAGTAAATGAGTTACAACTCCAGCATATGCAAGAATACAGCAGCATAAAGTGAACATTTCTGAAATGACGACTGCTAAGGGAGGCACAAGCTGTTCCAAAGCTCATGGAGTGCTGGAGGTCCCTCCAGTCACTTCACTGGCAAATCATTGCACAATAGCAGGGCTGGACTCACAAACAGCACTGATACTGGAACCACAGCACACATCTATAAATGGAAATACCTCAGTCTCACCAGACTTTGGAGACTTGTTTTGTTTTTCTATGGGTTGGTGATCATTTACATTCGAGTTTTCTGAAAAAAGGTGAGAAGAAAGAATTTAAGTTCTTAC